CTCTAGAGGTCCCCCGCGGCGCGCGCCGTCGCGAAGAGGAACGCGCCCGGCGGCGGGCCGTCGCCCGGCGGCGGCGCGTCGTCGCCGCCGCCGTCGCCCGACGCGGACCGCGCGGCGGCCGCGGCCATGGACGCGGCCGCCGCGTGCGCGGCGGCGAAGATGGGCACGGGGATGGGGTGGCCCGCGGCGCGGCGCGCCGCGCGCTTCGCGTCGTCCTCGTCGCGGTCCCGCGCCAGCAGCTTGACGAGCTCGGCCTTCTCGACGCACGCGGACGCGTCGACGTGGCGCTCGTCGCAGCGCCGCTTGAGCTCCGCGACGCCCAGCGCCTCGTAGGCGCAGCGCGCCTTCTTCGCGGGGGACGGCAGCTCGCCGCGGCACGTCGGGCACTTGTCGCTCTCGGCGCTCAGCCACGTGAGGAGGCAGCCCCGGTGGAACCGCTGGCCGCAGCACGGCATGCGGACCGCGCGGCAGCCCTCCTCGCGGGCGTCGAGGCACACGGGGCACGCGGCCTTGTCGGCGCAGTCCTCGGCCTCGAGCTGGCGCTTCTTCGAGGCCGCGGCCCGGGACCGCGTCTTGGGCTCGTCGCCCGGCGCCTCGGGCGCCGTCGTCTCAGAGTACGCGTGCGCGTCGAGGAGCGCGTCGATCTGCGACCGGGAGCAGGGCAGGTGGCTCGGGCCGGGCGGCGCCGCGTGGGCGACGGCGAAGCCCTCGACGTCGCGCAGGGACCGGGGCAGGATCGTCGAGAGCAGGCGCTCGACCTGCGTATCGGGACGGGTCGCGCGGCGCGGCGGCGAAAGCCATCCCCGGGACGCGGCGCGCGCGCGTGCGCCGTGGCCTCGCCCTCGGACCCGAAGACCTCGAGGGGCGACAGCGCGTGGATCGGGATCATGCCCGGGAACGGGAACATCCTCGAGAAGCGGTCCGGGGGGCCGCCGCCGCTCGGGGGCTGCGACATCTCCGCGGGGGCTCGGTCGCGGCGCGGGGCGTCGGGCGGGCGGGCGGGCTCGTGTGGTGCTGGAAGAGGCCGGCGGGCGGGAGCCAAGCGCGACGAAACGCAGCGGCGCGAGGCGGGTGGAGCACCGCGCGTCGGACGGTCGCGTCGCGTCGTGGATGGCGTGCAGCGTCCGTTGCCCCGGCAAACATGGGGAATTCGCAAAAGACGCGGCGCGCAGCAACCTACTGACGTCCGCGCATGGCTCCATCATCCGACTATCTGTCCGATTATCTGTCGTCGACGTGTCCGGGCTACTCCGGAGCCCGGTGTGGGACCGGGTAATCGTCGGAAAACCGTGTCCATCCCCGCTTTTATGGAACACCCGTTGAGGTTCGCACAGCGCATCCATCCGCACGGCCGCACCGACCTCGTCCGACCTGAGCTCACGAAGGTGGTCCGCGCCGAGGTCACCTGAGCGTGCCGGTGCGCCGTAGCCACGCCTAGCTCCACCGGCCCTCGCGCCGCTCGAGGCACTCGACCCGCCGCCCGACGAAAACCGCACCACAACCGCAGCTCGTCTCCGAAAATTCTTGACATTCGTATCACACTTCCGTCGTTCCGCGGCGCCTCGGGCGCCGGCGTCGGCGGGGCATGGACCCGGAGGAGGCGGAGGCGTGCGCCGTCGTCCACGTGGGCTGCGCGCACAGCGGCGAGGTGATCCCCGTCGAGGTCTGGGGCGCGGTCGGGTCGGCGCGGTCGTCGCTGCGGCGCCTCGTCGCGGACGCGTGCGGGTGCTCCGAGGCGTCGCAGATCGTGCTCTGCGGGCCGCCCTGGCGGCCCCTGGACGCGGAGAGCGCCGCGGGCGTCCTCGCGCGGGCGCCGCCGCGCGGGTCGGCGGGCGCGCGCGCGTCGGAGCTCCGCGTCTTCGCGTACGACCGCGCGGCGATCAAGGCCGGCGGCGACGGCCCGCAGCGCCACGGCGGCGCCGACGCGGCGGACGGGCGGGTGGCCCTCGAGGCCCTCGTCGTCCCGCGGACGCTCCCGGAGGCGCGGCGCCTCGGGCTGCTCGACGACGACGGCGAGATGCGCGAGAGCGACGCCATGGCGGGGTCGCCGACGGACGCGCTGTCCGTCGCGGGGTCGCCGGGCGAGGGCGGCCCGCTCCAGCGCGCCCTCGGCGACTTCGCGTCGCAGTTCAAGCTGCGCCTCGCCCAGGGGCGGGCCTACGCGCGCGCGGCGACGAACCGCGCGGCCGCGTGCCGGGGCCTCGCGGACCGCGCGGCCGTCCGGTCCGCGGCCGTCGCGGCCGCGCTGCTCAACCTCGGGGACCACGGCGGCGCGCTGTCGAGCGCCCACGGCGCGTTGGCGGCCAAGGCGCGGCGCCACGGCGACGTGCAGCGCGACGCGCTCGAGCGCTTCGAGGACGATCTAGACGCGTTGGGCCGCCGGGCGTTGCACCCGGCGCTCGCGCGCGCGGTCTTCGACGGCGACGCGCGGGCCCACACGCTCGCGGAGTGCGTGCCCGCGGAGCGCGTGCGCAAGTGGGCCGAGCACTGCGCGCGGACCCTGGCGGCCGTCGAGGCCGACGGCGCGCGGGTCGGCGGGTTGGTGGCGGACGTCGCGGGCCGCGTCGACGCGCTGGTCGCGCCCGAGACGACGCGGTCCATGCGGGACCGCGTCGACGGCCTCGAGGCGGCGGCGGCGGCCGTCGCGGCGCTGGCCGAGGACCAGCGGCGCGCCGTGGACGATCTGGACGGCGACGAGCGCGACGCGAGCCGCCTCGCGGCGGGCGCGCGGTCGGGCGTGCTCGAGGACTCGGGCAGCGGCGAGGAGCCGACGTCCTGCATGTCGACGTCGGCGACGTCGCCGAAGAACACGCCGCCGAACGCGGACCTGGGCGGCTTCTTCCCGGCGCACCGCGGGGGCCTCCTCGACGACAGCGACGCGGCCGGCTCCGAGTCGGGCACGTTCGGCCGGGGTTCGACGGGCGCGCTCGACGCCTGCCGCGAGCTCCAGACGCGCTGGGAGTCGCGGGACCGCAGCCTGCCGGCCATCAAGGCCACGGAGAAGGCCGTGCGCGACGGCGCCAAGGGCTGCGCGCTCGAGGCGGAGGCGCTCGCGGACGGCGCGCTCCGGCGGGTGAGGGACGTCGCGGACGCGCAGAGCCGCATCCACGGCGCGCGGAGCCGCCACCTCGCGGCCTTCGGGGACGCGCTGCGGGACAAGGCGGCCCACTTCGCCCAGCTCGACGCCGTGCGGCGCCTGCCGCGCGCGCACGCGGCCTTGTGTTTGGAGGTCGCGCGGCGCCGGGCCTACGGCGTCGCGGCCGTCGCGGCCGTGCGCGGCGCCGCGGACGCGGTCGCGGCGCTGCGCGACGCGGAGCACGAGCGGCGCCTGCGCTTCGCTAGGAGCCACGGCCAGCGGCTCCCAAGAGCGCTCCTGAAGGCCGTGCCCGCGCTCCTCGAGGCGCCCGCGACGTTCTCGCCGACCTTCGACCCGGAGACGTCGGCCGAGCCCTTGCCCGACGTCGCGCTGAGCGATTTGGCGCCCGACGGGACGCCCCTGTCCTCCGCGGACCCGGCGGACCAGGTCCAGGAGAAGCGGCCGCGCGCGTGGTCGTGCGAGAGCGCCGTCGGCAACGCGGGCGCGGCGACCACGCCGGGCTCGACGCCCCCGAAGCGCGACCCGGACGTGCGCATGGCCGAGGCGACGGCGACCTACGGCGAGGACGAGGCGCGCCGCGCGGGCGGTTCGGTGATCTACGGCGACCGCGACCGCGACGAGTGCTCCGACGACCCCGACGACTGCGAGGCGGAGAACCGCGCGCTGCGCGCGCGCTGCGCGAAGCTCGAGGTCGAGCTCGCGGCGTTGCGGGCCGAGGCCCTCGAAAAGCCCAGGGGGGGCAAGCCCGCGGAGAGCGACAGCGACGACTTCGACGAGCGCGACGACGACGTGCCCGAGACCTTGGGCCGCCGGGGCCGCGCGCTGAGCGAGGACTCGGCCGAGGTCAAGCGCGACCTCGCCGCGGCGGCGCGGGGCATCGGCGACCTCGAGGCGGCGCTGGGTCTGGAGTACCGCGGCGCCGCGCCGCCCGTCGCGGAGCGGTGCGCGGCGGCCGTCCGCGCGGTCCGCGCGGCCGCGGCCGCCGGCGGCGCGCCGAAGATCAGCTTCCGGTCCATCGGCGTCGGCGACGTCGCCCTCTTCCTCCCGACGGGCGGCGCCGAGCACTCCAAGGCCTACCTCGCGTTCCACCACGGCGCGCCGCACCGCTACCTCGCGCCGCAGTCCATCGCCGCGATCCGCGAGGCCCACCAGCGCTACCCGGACTTCATCCTCGGCCGCGTCACGCGCGCGGAGCCCCGCGACGTCACCAACGACCCGGACTCGAACCCCTACCGCCTCCCCCTCGGCACGGTCTTCCACGTCCTCGCCGTCGAGTCCCTCTGACCGTCGCGCGGCGCGCGGCGCCCGGCGTCGCCGCGATCACCCCACCACCACCCATGTCCAGCATCTCACGATCCAACCCCGCGGCGACGCGCCGCCTCTACATAGCTAACTCCTGTCCAACTCCCCTAGTCGAAGCGGAGCCGCGCCTCGTTCCGCTTGAGGATGGCTTTGATGTTCTCGTTGTCCTGGATCACGTCCTCCGTCGCCAGCAGCTCCTTGAAGCTCTTGATCTTCCCCGACCGGCGCACGTGGTCGACGATGCGCCCCGCGATCGTCGGGTACATGCCGGGGCAGTCCGTGAACATGGAGCCCGTCGCGGTGTTGACGTTGATGACGACCTCGCCGGACCGCTTGTCCGCGCCGCCCTTGAACGGCCGGACCTCCTCCTCCTTGGGCGCACCGAGCGCCGGCGGCGCGGCGACGCCGACCAGGGCGGCGCCGGCGCCGGACGACAGCAGCGCGCGCCGCGTCCGCGTCGGCTGGAGAGAGAGAGAGAAGGCGCACAGCGCACTGAGCAGCACGGCTTTCATCATTCTACGGCTGTAACGACTAGCTCGCGTTGCACGTCGAGCGCTGCGCGGTCGTGAGCGCCGGGTCGAGCTGCCACGAGACGCGGAGAGCTCGGCCGGCGTCAACTTTAGCCCAGTTGCCGTGGACTTGCACCGCTCTCGTCATTTCGCGCGATAGCTGCCCTTAGTGCGATAGCTGCCTTCCAGTGCTATAGCTGCCCTTCGGTGCGATGATGCGCGCCGCGGCAGCCCTCGTCGCGCTGGTGCACTGGTGCGACTGCCAGGACGCGGACCTG